CGCCACAGAGTTTCGCATTCAAAAGCTCCCAAAGGTTACAGAGATAATTAATTAAATTAATTACCACCAGCTGTAATCGAACCATTGACCTCATCTGTAGAGGGTTAGGCACCTAGACTACTAGGCTATGGGACCCTAACTACTACTTGATAATTTTAAAAAAAATAATATATAAAAAAAAATAAAATAAAATAACAAAAAAAACCAATTTATAATAATTTAAAAAAAATTTCATATTATTTGACTATTAGATCTTAGGGCCCGGTCAATGCCCAAGTAAAAGGAGAAACTATCAAAATATAGATATAATTTTTATTCTCTGTTATACTGATTACTCATTGTACCGACTAGTCAAAAATATCATTATGAGATTAGTCAACCAATCAAATTGCGAAATTACAAAAAGACAAAACTATAAGATTCAAGGAGATTCAAAAAATATGTTGTAAAACAAAGTAAAAGCTTCAAGTTTGCTTGACTATTTTCAATATTCATAGAAAAGATAAGTCAAACAAGCCTTTCAAAAAAGTATTATAAAATAATATAAAAAAAAATTTCATCAATTGTATAACGATTTTGTAACATATCAACGGTTTCTTCTGTTTGTCTAAGTATAAAGTTTTCAAATTAAGTCATATAATTTATATAATATTATGGTAAAAAAAGACTATACTATAATACGATTTACAATATAATAATAAATTAAATGTATATATGCATATACTGTATGCATATATAAGATTGTAAATGATTTATAAATAATTTTATCATTTTTTTTATTAATATTATTAAATTAAAAAAATAAAAAATTATTATTTTTTATTAATTATATTAATATTTGGTAGTGTTTTTAGTTTAAATCTAAAAATTAACAAAAAATTAAAATCTTAAATTTTGACAATACTTAGTTTTAAAAACTAATTATTGAGGCCTAAGAATTAGCAAAAAATTAAAAACTAAAACTTGAGCAATGCCGGGTTCTATATGCTATTAAAGCTTTAATATACAGAGTATGAATTAAAAATGATACTTATTGAATGGCCAGTATTTACTATGTGTCATTTTAGACCTAGGTCCTTATAGACAGACATTTGTATGATTGGCTGTTTAAATCAATTTAATTTTATATTATTTATATAGTTTAAAACACTTTTTTTTAAAAAAAAAACTATGAAAAATAAACAAAAAAGAAGTATATAGTCTATATACTTCTTTTTTGTTTATTCTTCATAGTTTTCTTTTTTTAAAAAAGTACTTTAAACTGTATAAAAAATATAAAATTAAATTGATTTAAACAGCTAATCATACAAATGTTTGTCTATGACCTGGATTCATGGTCTGAAAAAAGAGGCATTCATCTTTTACTCTTGTTATAGGAATTATTGTAATGCTACTATAATCTAAAAGTAGTATATAAGGGCTGTGACAGATATTATGTAATATCCTAGGGGGGAGGAGGTCAGTTCAAAGTCTTACATTATACATAATATATATATATAATATATATAGTATGGATAGTGTTTGTCCAAAGCTACTATATTACATAATCACCTGTTACGTGTGCAAACTGATATCTATGCACAGCTACGTACTAGCTTTGATAATCATGCTGTATTAGGTCATGAAAGCGATATTTAAATTAAATTCACAGCTTTGTTAGTTGTTCGGTTTACTTTACTTTTTGATTTATTACTATTTTTTATTAATCTTTTACGTACTATATATGTTTAACTAACATTTATTCTTAATACATATAATATAAAGAGTTGATCTAAGTATGTATAAAGGATTTTAAGTAAAGACAATCTGAGATTTTTTTTTAAGTATCAAAATTTTTTCAAAAAGATTTCTCTCTGACGCCAAAGTTGTTACAACAGTATCCCAATCTTGTTCACAAACTTGAAATTTCCTTTAACAAAATCTTGAATTTCATAAACCAGTTAACCTATATTTTGCATTCACTAAAATTCTATATTAGAAGTATATTCTCTGAAATCGTCAACCGAAAAGCAACTTTTGGTTTGTTGTGAGCAAAGTATACTAAAGTCTTCTAAAGTTGCAGTATTAGTAATTACCACAGATTCTACTACAGATTTGGAATTTTTAGATTGGTTTTTTTAGGTCTTTCATGGACAAACAGATGCATCTCACGTTTGTGCTTTGTAATATAGGCCAAAGTTGGGAAATATTTATGACAAACTGAACAACAAAGTCAAGAATATGTTGTTTGACTAATAGATGGGCAATGTTTATCATAGCTAGGAACTTTAAGTTGTTCAGAATACTGAAGAAGATGAACAGGGTTTATGAAATGACCATCCTTTGCCCTGGTAACGGGTGGAAAAAAACTATTGGAAAGTCGAAGAAATTCCATAACTTCTAATACTCTGGGGGGTCACAGCAATCTAGATTATTACAGCGTTTAACATCAAGCAAATACTAGCATAAATTACAATGCTTTTCAATTCAACTCCATGGAACAGATATGTCATCCTCTTTATTATTATTTTTTTCATTTGTTTGTTTTTTATTATTATCAGTTTTTTTTTGATCCTCAAAGGTAAATTCAAGATTCGCAAATGGATTAACAGTTTTATCAATATATGTTGCATTTACATGCTTTCCAAAAATGAGATCATGGCGCCATATGTCACACAACATCATTCTAGCATAATTGAAATTTTGGGCTACTAGGTTGGTATTATTAACGTTACCCTGGCTATCAAGATACTTTCCAAAATAGTCTATTGGCAAGACAATTCCGGCTAACTTTCCTGAAAGTGTCGCCATACTTCTTTCAACTGGATTATATTTTGATTGTTCCAGGGTATGGGTTTATACAGTCAAATAGTCTAAATCGAATTTTTTAAACAACTTACAATACGACTCAATATTTTTAAAATGTCTAGGGTTCTCATTAGGATCCCGTCAACTAACAAAATCCAAATCGGTTTTATCTCATTATTTATTTTAGGGCTTCTGAATACTGATTATCTGATACAAGAGAAATAAGATCTTCAGCGTAAGTAATAAATGATGTACCGATTGACCACTGAGGTCTGACAAAAATTGCTACTTGTCTCATTCGAAGGTCATCATTTTCTTCGTTTGGTTTAATCATTAAATAAACAGACAGAATTAGTTTTTGGCTATTTTCACATGCAAAATCATGATCAGGTAGTTGAACTGGTTCAGATACAGACTGTAAAGTGTGAAATGTTCTACCCACTGCTAGTATTCCTAGGCCTATTTTTGCTTTATCATCCTGAGAGATGATTACGAAAATATTTGGAAAGACACATGCAAATTGTCTTACTCCTTTAACTGAGGCAAGGCAATAATGCCCATCAGGATGATCTTTTTTTTCGTTATGGGAAATACCAGCTACAGCTATCCAGGCCAGATGATGGTGAGCTTTAGCCACAATTGAATTTGATTGGTGGGGCAAAAGATAATTGTTTAAGGTCGTTCTGGCCATATAAATGCTATAATTTTTTTTCAAAATTCTCCCTTAAGTGATTTATAATCCTTACTTTAACAGCTTCTTTACACCTATGTGCATTAGCGAATCCATACTCTACTGAATTATGAATATTATCGAGTAACTCTGGATTCTGAAGCAATATTGACAGTTTGTCAGGTGAATCATATCAAATTACCACTTGTTTTTTTTTAATGTCTTAGTTTTTTTGGATTGGCATTTAGATTGGTATTCGGCATTTCTTTTTAGCTTGTGTAGTTTGTTCTCATGTTCTTGAAGTTCGGATTTGAGGTTTGTGATTCTAATATACAAATCATAACGGAGCTGCAAATCATTGGTAAAGTTATACACAGCTTCCAATTCTTTGATTTTTTTTTTCTACAGCTACTTTAAAATTAGCTGCCTGTTTTTGAGCCGACATATTACTTCGAATTTCTTCTATATCCAATGTTTGTGGGATCTGTGGAGGTGTATTCTAAGATAAATTTACTTTAGAAATTTTTGGGGCTTTTGTTGAGATGAAGCAGTGGACTGAAAATATCCTTGCACTTTAAGAGATGTTGCTAAGTATTTTTTTATAATATTATTGATTTCAGGTTTTTTTATCTTTTTAATGTTTTTCCATTCTTTTGCGGCATCATCACAGATTGTTAATCGACTTGGAGTGTGATTTTTATTTATTATCATATATTTATATGCGAATGCATTTGTAAATTGTTAGTATTTGGTATTAGGGAACTTGTATATGTAAGTTTTATCGAACTTTGGGCTTAAAAAAAAGGTTTGTCGACTTATAGATATTACATCAGCGAAATATATTAATATAAACTTACGCAAGTTATTACGCCCTGAAATATTGCGCAATAATTACGGTCTGGGCATAATATTGTACAAAAAATTGCAAAATATTGTGCAATATATAGCATTATATTATGAAATATATTATGCAAAATTACAAAACTTAAAGCGCAATATTATGCTACATATTGTGCAATATTTCGAATTATATCAAAACAATTCGAAATAGATGAAATGCATCAAAACAGCAAAATATTTATATTCTAATAGATAACTGATTATACATAAAAAAGCTAATCTATATGAATTTATCAAATACTATTTGATTTATTTCGAGGTATTTTGAAATAATTCGAAATAAATTAAATAAAAATACGAATAATAGGAAATATATTTAAATGCAATAATTTAAAAATAAGAATAATAGGAAATATATTTAAATGCAATAATTATACGATTTATTAGATTTTTTCGAATTATTTCGAAAAAATGCCA